GCTTTCACGCCGTGGTCGTCCTTCTTCTTGCATCTGGAGTCGGGGTTTTTCATGACGTAGTCGCAGTCCTTGTGCGGGCTGCCAGTGCCCGCCATGTACCAGGAGCCGCTGTCCCGGCAGCTCGACGTCGGCGCAGGCGTCGCGTCGCACATGTGGCTGGGTTGAATAAAAAACCGGATTTGTGAGGCTCTTGAAGTTTTTGAGTTAGTGGCTCTGCGCGCAAGACGGCGGTGCCGGCTTTCAGATGCAACAAGAATTTTGCAAATCGGTCACGGTGGCCATGGCGCCGCGGCCGAGATCATAGTAGAGCTTGCCAAAGGTGCCCATCACCACTGCCAAAGCCCTCTTTACCATCGATTTTCTCGAATCCGATCCGCGCCATTCGATCCGGGATCTTAAACAACCCAGCCACACATGTCGCACGCGGCCGGGCAGGCCACCGACGCGAGGACGCCGTCGTCGTTGTCCTTGGCGCAGCGCGTGTCCGGGTTCTTGGCGACGTGGTCGCAGTCCTTGGACGGGTGGTTGCGGTACCAGGTCGTCGAGTCCTGGCAGTCCGGGTCGTCGCCGTGGTCGTGGCCGTCGTCCTCGTCCTCGTCCTCGTCCTCGTCCTCGACGAGGTCGCACGTGTCGCAGCTCACGGGGCACGCGTGCTTCGCCTTGACGTCGTGGTCGTCCTTCTTCTTGCAGCGGCTGTCCATGTTCTTCATGACGTAGTCGCAGTCCTTGTGCGGGCTGCCCGCCATGTACCAGGAGCCGCTGTCCTGGCAGCTCCCCGTCGGCGCGGGCGTCTCGTCGCACGTGCCGCACGCTTTCGGGCAGGCCACCGACGCGAAGACGCCGTCGTCGTTGTCCTTGGCGCAGCGCGTGTCCGGGCTCTTGGCGACGTGGTCGCAGTCCTTGGACGGGTGGTTGCGGTACCAGGTCGTCGAGTCCTGGCAGTCCGGGTCGTCGTCCTCGTCCTCGTCCTCGTCCTCGAGGAGGTCGCACGTGTCGCAGCTCGCGTGGCACGCGTGCTTCGCCTTGACGTCGTGGTCGTCCTTCTTCTTGCATCTGGAGTCGGGGTTTTTCATGACGTAGTCGCAGTCCTTGTGCGGGCTGCCCGCCATGTGCCAGGAGCCGCTGTCCTGGCACCACGACGTCGGCGCGGGCGTCGCGTCGCACGTGCCGCAGGAGACGGGGCAGGCGTCCCAGCCCTCGACGCCGTCGCCGTTCGTCTTGTCGCAGCGGCCGTCCGGGTTCTTGGCGACGAGCGCGCAGTCCTTCGAGGGGTTGTCGTTGATGAACCACGACGTCGAATCCTCGCAGTCGTCGTCGATGCCGCACCAGCCGGCGTCGAAGTCGGCGAG